GGCCTAAGCCCATGTATGCATATGCATGCAAGCCAGGTTGCTGCACATTATGCCAGGCTAAGCTGGCTGGCCCCACCCCGAGTCCCCACATATGTGCCCGCAGTGAATAATCGTCTAATGAACACAGGACGGCAGAACGAAATACATGTACATTTATGTATTGTCAATTGAAGCCAATCGTATCACAGGCAAGCCTCATGTGGTATGGCGCTGCGGCGTGCTGGGTCTGCTAGCTCAGCTGTCCTGGCCATGCATCCATTTGCCCATGTGGCGTGAAGACAATCGTGTACTGGTACACCACAACATGTGAATATGAAGTCGGAAACTCAAAGGAAATATTGGGTATTTTTTCGGGGCACCACTGCCAGGAAGAATGGGACACACAGCCAGCTTTGGCAGTGGACAAACTAGCAATTTTCAGGGTACCGACCGCCATGGTCACGGTAAAATTTGAGTCCTGCAAGTGGGCTTGGTTCAAAATCATTGTTCATTATCAGGTTTTTCGCTCATATTTTCTGTTCATATGTGTTATTTAAGTTGTTTTTTTCTGAGCTTTGTAACAATGTTACTTTGAAACAATGCCAATGTGGCACTGCATTAACACGGTCGGTATGCAGATCGCTGTGTAATGTGCCAGTCAGTGCTGGGTTCAATCCCCTAATTACTACTAGTACTCGGCCTATGTAAATATAAATCTTTTGCAATAATATGCTTGAAAGAATTGTTGACGTTTTGATGACGCCCGTCGACCCTTCATTTGAAGCACAGACGGTCAAGCTGTCCCAACCGTCGAGTTAAGTTGTCAACAGCCAACATGGCTGAGTTGTCCCGTCTCTAGCCCCACTAGTGTGGCACGGACTCTCACTCCCGATTTATCCTTAGCCACACATCCGTATGCGCAATTTCGTGTCGGCGAAATGAACATTTTTGGCGCACCAACTTATAATCGTGGGCGCAATTTCTTTTGCACACTAACATGATTCTGTTCCATGTCAAGACATGTAATAAACGGACTGAGCGATAAGATACTACATGTACAAATGGACTCTTCCAAAACTTTCGCAGCAGTTTAGACGTCTCGACATGGAACAGTCGTTGAGACGATGAGGGGTCAAGTGACNCATGGGTCCGAGTTGGTTGTGGGTCCGAGATGGTCGTGGGTCCGAGTTAGTATTGGGTCCGAGTTGGCGTGGGTCCGTGTTGGTCCTGGGTCCGAGTTGGCATGGGTCTGAGTTGGAATGGGTCCGAGTTGGAATGGGTCCGAGATGGTTTGGGTCCGAGTTGACCTGATCCCTGCAGATTGCTGTGTAATGTGCCAGTCACTGCTGGGTTCCATCCCCTAATTACTACTACTAGTACTCGGCCTAGGCCTATGTAAATATAAATCTTTTGCAATAATATACTTGAATGAATTGCTGACGTTTTGATGACGCCCGTCGACCCTTCATTTGAAGCACAGACGGTCAAGCTGTCCCAACCGTCGAGTTGTCAACAGCCGACATGGCCGAGTTGTCCCGACTCGAGTTGGCCATGGAAAGGCATGAACGATTCTCTGAGCCCCTTCAGGCCTTTTTTCAGCCTGCCCTGACCTACACGACCTACCTCATATCTAATGCTATTCCTCAGTTTTCAAAGGATTAAAAGATGAAGTCGCCAGAGGGCTCCTCAATTTTGGGGAAAAAAAGTGGACAAGCTTAACTTAGTAGACACTGGGTTTAGTCACGTTGTTACAATCGACGTAACGGTAGTGCAGCTGCACACACGCTATTTTTGAAGCTCATTTTGCGCATACAAGTGTCTATCTTTTCGGATAGGCTTTCATATGCAGTTGAAGCATTTAAGTTTAAGGAACTAATGCCGTAGTTTGGATCTCTATCCTGCACAAATAGCGCGAAGGGTACGGCTAATGACGCGGACAGATGCAAGCAACGAAGTGTTTCTTCAAACATAACACTGCAATTTATCGCCGACTTTTTGAATGGAAAAAGACAAAAGCAAAGTGAAACGATTTTGAACTTACTACAATCATCAATTAGTGTGGACTCAAGTTTGAACGAACCTATCCCGATCTTTTATATCATGGAATATCATGGAACAGCCTAAGGCAATAACGGTGAATTATGCCAGTGGGAGAGCATTATTGTGTTTCCATGGTTAAAACAATACTGTTTTAAGAAAAATTAAACTAAGTCGAAACATTAATGACCCATTTATTTTAGAACGTTTGTTTAACTTACTTTTGACATTGTTCCCCGCACGTTGTAGCTTCGAGCTCTCCCATAATTCATTTACTGCCTTTAAGTTAGGCTGTTCCATGTTGCATAAACTTGCAATTTTCTCCCATAAATGCAAACTGGATCTGGTTGCGGAGTACCAATATGCTTATGTATACAAAAGTTGCTTTTCCGCGGGATGCACGAGCATCGTGACGTTACCATTAAGATATTCATAATTGAGCTCTTCGAGGGTGGACCCACACCCGTTACAGATCTGGCCTAGTTGGTGGAAGGGATGAGCCTGTTGGACCTTTTTCATATCTGGTGATAACCAGCTGATTTAAACGCATGGAAATTAGGAAAAGCCTACTCGATGTTTGCTCGGAAAAATCGAGCTTAGTTTTACCGATTGAGTCATCTAACCCCGACCCCCTTTTGTCTAAAGGCCTGTAAAAATAAAAAGCGTAAGAGGGCCTGACGTTTCGATCCTAAGAGAATCGCTTAAAGGTGAAAGATTTTAGAATGTTGAGATCAGTGTGCTTCTGTATGCCCGGACACTTCGTTTCCGATTAAATTAAGAATCTGAAACCATTACAAGGGCTTACAATTTTGGACGAGAAAGAAGCCAAATGAGGAGAAAAGAAAATTAAACCTGGATCACTTCATCAGGGACATTGAAATTAGGAATGATTGAAACTATCAGTTTTGATAGTAGCCCCCCCCCTTACAAAATGACAGCCCCATTCTCTCTTCTTACGTGGCTTAACATGCTTAGGTGGAGTAAGGGAGTAAAGCAAACCCAGCTGCCTTCTTAAAAATAATACTCGTCCCCTTTAAGTACCAAACTTTTTACAAAGTGCCTTTTACCACCATGGCTCTACATGCCACTTGGATACCATTACAGTATGACTATGAGCGGTGGGCCCCTTACGGACGCATTCCCTAAAATGTTCGGTTGCTTTTCAGCGTCAACCGTAAACAGATCAAAATAATAAACGATTGGCATTAGAATTAACCAAGTTCCAGGGCGGCATGCAAGGACAGGCGACGCAAATACTTTTGGTCGTTGCCAAGTCAAAAAAGGCAAATGGTGTACACTGAACAGTGCCGCTAGCAGGCCTAATTGGCAATTTTCCTGGTTGAACTAAATTTCACTTGAGTCTACTATTTGTTTCCTATTGGAAAAACAAAACATAGCATGTACCTGGTTAAACCTCCTTTGTATGACTGATTTTTCTAAATGTTTGGCGTTGTCTAAAAGTCTTAATTACCCTAAAGGAACAGTGACCATCAAGGGGTGAACAAGTTTCAGCTTTCACCATGGCTCAATTATAAATTTTAAATGCTTTGATAAAAGATGATAAGAAGTATCCGAACAAAAATACTGCATATAAAGTGCGCCCTCATTTGTTACACTGATACTGCGTACCGTACATCTAGGGCTGAGTTCGGGCGGCTTGTTTCCGTATGTTCGCGAACAGCTCGATTTGTTGTTCGTGGGTCGGCCGCTCGAAAGCTGGGAACGAGCAACCGGTTATCGCAAGCAACATGCAACATGGCGGTTTCCATGTACGTTATTTGAGAGTTAAGGTTTGGATGGGCTGAATTCTTTTCTTTATAAACAGGAACATTTATTTCTGTGTTACGGAAAATAATTAATGTTAATTTTTCCCATTGTCTACATAATTTAGGAATTAAATTCACTGATTGCATACACTTGTAAGATAAATAGTTTAAACTTCCATTGAACAGAGTTGTGGTACGTAATAATTGAAAATATCTCTGCATTTCGCAGAATGAACTAGCGTCAAACGATGTTTTCAGTGTAAGTAGAAAACACTTTCTGCTTTGATTTGACATGATTTCTGACTATTACATTTTATGGGGAAAGCTAAACCGAATTCAGTCACTATCTATAATCCGTTTGGTCTTGAAAGTATGGAAAGTCAAATGAGGTAAAAAAAAGGGGGGGTATTATTAGAAGTGAGAATGGCAAACAAGATCGAAGTTTTGCTCCAAATACGGACCTACTGTGACACAGGGCTCGATGTATACAGCTTCCCCATGGCAAATTGTATCTGCTTTAGTGGCATGAGAAACTAGTTGCCAGTGTGAACCAGCGTCGCCATAAAGCCCTCGGTATATATATTTTGTGTTTTATTAGCAACGTTTGTGGAAGGCTTAACCAATAACTTGACTGACAAGCTTAAGGTTCAAGCAAAATCGCCATTCTTTCAAGTGAAATTGCTAAGTAGGGACTAACTGAGAGCAACCACTTTTTCACTTAACGCGATACAGCATACTTTTATACGAAATTGGAAAGGACACATGCGCTTTCTGGAAGAAACCGCAAGATGGCGTCCGCTGCCACGCCATCGTTGACAACCCAGTTGTGATCACTCCGTCTCTGAAATGCAATGGTGGGGCGACGCGGCCGGCCTTAAAGAACATCAGTAAAACCGCTCCTACCTCCAGTGTTGCCGTCCTGGGTTTGTTACTTATTGTCTGAGATGCCGATCTCATTCAGGACTTCCAGAATAAAGTATGGCCTCTTTTTCAAGGAGTTAACACTTCTAATTCAGTTGCATGCACCATTCAGTTCAAGATCACTTGTTGATTCGTGAAGATGCCCTCAAGTGATTCTGTGACTACCTTAGCCTGGCCGGTCTCATCACCCAGACTTGTCTTGCACCTCATCGAGTTCTTAGCCTCTGTGCCGGACCAGAGCACGTAGTAACCTCAACGTGGTCATCAGCAGCAGGCTTCCTCCGTTCACAGCAAACAGTGTCTGAAGTACCTTAAACACTCTTCAGAGCCAACGTGTTTTCGAAAGGGAGATTATGTTTATGCTGCTTTTAAGAGTCTTGAATTTTCGATTCAAAATATTCATTACAAACGAGATACATTTTAGGTCCGACGGGGGTGACCTAGGCCTGTGCATGGGCTCCCTGGATCTGTCCTCAGCTCCATGCAGCCAAAAGAAATTAGCCCATCCCACAGGAATGTTTTAGAAAGAGAAAATGCATTGCTGAGCAGAGTATTTTCTCCTGTTCAACAGTTGTAGCCCATCATTTAGTACACCGTCTTATCAAATCGCACAAATGCATGTTGTACATTTACCGAACATGCATGCAGGGGGATTAGCTCAAGTGGTAGAGCGCTCGCTTAGCATGTGGGAGGTACCGGGATCGATACCCGGATCTTCCAGGTCTTACTTTTAAAAGACCTGTTCGCTTATTAAGTTTTCTTTTTTATCCTTGATCATTTTTCTCTGATCTCACCACTAAGTTTCTTAAAAATCTCTGCACCTGGCATCCCTCATTTTTATTTTTTTATGAATTGACATTGACTCCTTTTTTTTAAAATCTAAACATACCAGTACATGTATATATTCTATCAGTCCCGTCCTTGGTACATGTATATATATCCAAAACGATCGATAAGTGCATATTTCTGCTCACAAACATTGGTACAGGCGTCTGTATGATCACAAGAGGAACAATTTGGGGGAAAATGTTCATGTCACCACCTCTCTGAGTGTCCCGTTTACGGTTCTAGGATTAATTTTTTGCACTATGTGTTGTTCACTCTCATTTGCATTGAAATGCTGCTAACTTCTAGAAATAACTTCAAGCAATTGTTATATTTGCATTACATGTGTACGTACAATATCTAAAAAAAAATAAGTTTTTCAACTACTTCGCTCAAATAGATCTCTGTCGATAATGCTGATGTCTGGTTGGGCTCGGCGGATTGGAAAGCCTCTGGCGGCTCCAAGATATTGGTTCTCGAAGGTGTTTGACAGGTCTTGGTAATGAGACGCACTACCCAAGGTAGTTATAGAAGCGGTCAAACTCTCTTAGCGTGTCATTTAAAGTCTGCTGGTTTTCTTAAAAGAATAGCAAGCTGTCGGTGGCTGAAGACATCTTCGGTTGAGATGAAATAAAAATTGGTCTTGACTGAATGCAAGCCAGTTCAAAAGTGATGACTCCTCGCCAAATAGACCCGACTTTATCCATTGCCAGGAAGGCTTTGTATTCGGCTCGGTAAAATGGCCGCGAGTGGGCAAGTCCAGATTTTGGTATATACGTCCGTGCTCTGTATACAGCTCTGGACCAGCTCAGAGCTGTTGGTTCAGCCATCTTACTTCGGACACATGCGTTCGTTTGCAGGAAGAAACCCAGCTGCGAGAGTACGTGACTTGCAGAACGGATGTACATGTACATTGTACATGTACTCCTTACGTGACTAGTTTTCCCGTAATTTCATCGGTAAACTTTTAAAATGGCCAATAAAAGCTTCTAAGATTAAAAATACTCGTTAGCAAAACTACACATGGGGGATTAGCTCAAGTGGTAGAGCGCTCGCTTTGCATGCGAGAGGTACCGGGATCGATACCCAGATCTTCCATATTGATTTTGTCGATGGGCTAACTTTTAAAAATCTGACCCCCCATTATTTTCCGAGAGATTATTTATTTCCACCCACCACGAGCGTTAGTGGGTGTGGGGACAACATGTCCAAGTTTCTGGGGTCGTTCAGAACCTCACATCGTTCGGGGTTCGCTCTTCGCGCTTGCATTGATTTTTTCCCCCAAGATCTCCAGGCCATCTATCTGCTGTCCATTACATTCTGGAGATCGACGTGTAGGAAATCTCAATACCTACGCTTACAAAAAGTCTTATTTCAAACTTTGGCAAAAACGGAAATATGTGCGTCAGTGAGATTTGAAACATCAGACTTACTTGGTGGTATATCGCAAGCTTAGTATGGCCAAAATCTGTATTACCCGGGATCAGCTTCAAAATTTGACATAAATTTTTGTAATCATGGATAAATTTAAGACTTCCTTTCTTTTGAAAATCTGTTGGCTCTGATTTGTTTGAAATGAGTTCTTCGTTTTGGTTTTCATGATGCATCTGCATCTAGATATCCTTCGACGGCTCCGAGAAACAGCTGGTCCTTGAATGTGCTATGCAGGTCTTGGTAAGAAGATGGGCTAGCCAAAGGGAGCCGTGGAAGCGGTCAAACTCTCTTGGCATTATGTTACAGATCTGCTTCAGTCTTTGGTGGAAGTCGTATAAGCTATTGGCTAACCAGAAACTTCAAATAACGTTTCGCTAACAGGAAGTGATACCCTTGCGAAGGTCGTGCGCAGTGTAGCCAATCACAGTGCCCTGTTCAGGCGCATGGCAACTGGCGAATGGGCCTACCACCCAATTACAGCTAACCCATTGCCACCTTTAGCCCACAATTCATTTTTCATAGACGCTCATTCACACCCAACGTTCACACAGAGCGAGGGGTTGGCTTTATGCCCTTATTGAACAGAATTATTGTAAACAGCCAGTCACGAAGCCTGGTGAGCAGTTCCCGCTTTCTTCTTGTTCAAAAATCCAATGCAGCTGGAAGAAATTAGCCCATCCCAGCGCCCCGTAAGGACAGTTGGCAAAGGAATCACCACAGTGTTTTAGGATGATAAAAAAGCAAATTCTAAGAATCCCTATTTC